AACGCATAAAAGAATTTCTTTGAAAAATACGTATTAGATACTGTAGAATTTTAGATTTATATAATTATAGAAATAAAAAATCGAAATAAGTAGTACATGTTGAGATTTCAAGATCTTTTGATAAAATTCATTAAAAGAAAAATTCATTAAAGCGATGAAAAATCAAGAAACGAATACAATAGCACGGTTCGTCACAAAAATAATCCGTGAATGTAGCATTGGATAAAATATTAACGAATCAGGAAGAAAATATTGATTTCATAAATCAAATATTTACATACATGTAAATTATTAAAAATTGATAAAATACAAATTACGACGCTTGATTTTATCATCTAAAATCAAATGGAATACTCAGTCATAATCAATGTAGTCAATTAATATTTGAAAAATTTTATTACAAATCAAACCGATTGGGAATGAACTATTTTATAACATTTTGCAATATTCGTAAATACATAATATTTACTTACAAATGACATCCAACGATATCCATACATTAAACGAGTATATTCGTATATTATATACGAATTAATAAACGAATGACAAGCGACATTGTTACCATTAAAACAAACATTGCGACTGACATACATATTAATAACTATGACGAATTACACAAAAGACTTCAATCTGACAGTAATACAAAAAAAAAAAATCACATGAACATTCAAAAAAGAGCGACAAAATATTTTTATTACGATTAAATTTTAAAACGCGAAAGATGAAAGAAATTGTCACGTAGATAGAACTAATAAAATTTCAATAAAACTACACAATAAATACGATACGATACATAAAGAAAACGATACATATTATGCGTTCACATAAATTAAAATAAATCTAAACTAAAATCGAAAATTTAAAAAATATTTTAATAGAAATCAAAACATTTTAATAATAATATAAAAAATAATATGTAATATAATAATATAATATAATATTCTAATATAAATATTTATATTTATATCTTTCATATCATCAGCATTTTTTTTTTAATTTCTATGAAAAAAAGAATATATAAATAACAATACAGAAAATAAAAAATAATAATAATGATATTTATATTAAAATATTTACCAAAAAAATCATGAAGATTTTGTTATTCCCTATAGGAATTTCCTGAATAATTATCAATATCGTTTTACTCTTTGCATAAATAAGATATTTATAAAAAAAGCTTTCATCATGTCCCGGAAAGTGCATTTTCCTAAATAAGAAAAAAAAAATATTTGAAAAAAGGAAAGAGAAAAAAAATTCTTTCGTAAATAATAACTATTTATTGATACTTTATTCGACAAACAAATTTCTTTTGCACACATTAAAATATTAACATTTTAAGACGATAAATATCACAATATTACAAATGAAAAATCCTTTCTCAACCGATTACTTAATCGAAATATCTCTCTATCATTGTCAAGAGCTCAGTTGCGATAATGTTACAATGACACAAAAATTGATCAATGAAAATTAATCATATTTACATATTAATATCGTATCTATGCAAATACGATATTAAATATGACTTTTAATCAGAGATTATAAAATATTATAATCGAAATTAAATTAATATAATCGAATTGAAAATGTTTGTTGAAAAAATGCTCATCCACCAACAATAAAATTTTGTAATTAATTAATCACATAACAAAACATAATAGAATTTATACAAATCTCGAAAATTCTTGCTACAATTCGTAAAAAAGGAAAAATCACAAATAAAATAGATATAGCAAAAATATTATTTGGCGTTTAAATTATGTCCTAAGAAATTTATTTTAGTATTTATTTATTTATTTTTATTTATTTTTTGTTATTATATATATATATATATATATAAAATAAATTTCTTAGGACATAAAGAAGAAATTTTTGCAACCTGCATTCATGAAACAAACATAAATAATAAACACAAATAGTAAATAATTCAATGAATTTATTAATATTATAAATTATAATTAAAAAATACTATATAAAACGACAAATTAATAAAATCCAAAATTTTCTCGAGAAATATTGAATAGAAGTCATAATAACAGAAGAAAATTTTAACAATAACAAATGTCAGATACGGCCCAACTGCCGAAGCGTACAGACGTATCGACTTGCTCGCGTGTACATATTCGGATAATATAGGAATAATGAAATGCTGCATGCGTAAAAGAATTTTTTCCTTTTTTTTTTTTTTGTTTTCGAAGACAACTATTCCAACGATTAAATGTAATATAATATGGCTACACAAGATAGTCAAAAAGAAGGATCTTGTGACTACAGGGTTCTCTCATTTAATAACATCAATCTAAAGGAATCTAAATCAATCAATCAAGCTATTGAATTAACTAAATTCTATGCGATTATAACGAAATCCGAAATTTTCCCGATTAAAGATCAAACAATAATTCTACCAACCATCGAGGGTATTATAATTAAAGAATGCATTTGCGCTTTATAGGAAATATAATAAGTCCAAAAGCTATACGATTCATCTCAAGAATTTCAAATAGCAGAGTGTATTTATCTGCACAAGAAAGACACGATAACAGCACTAACAGAAGCAATGAAATATCTAACAATTAATAATAATAAAATCGAAACAAGACGAATGATAACCAGCACAGCAAATCATCCTTTCAAATGTATCATCAACCATTCCAAACTCAATGATAGAATTCGTATTTAAAAGAATAATGTACGATTGTGATCTAAAATAACATCATTAAGAATCGGAATAATTGAATACTCGCATATAATGAGGTTTCGAAGGCAGATATATGTCAATCCGGAAGACATCAATCTAACACTTAATTTCTTTATCATTATACACGAAGAAACAATGTATCCTATCTTTATCACTTTGGATAAATTAAATCGCTTTATATATAAATAAAAAAGACATACAAAGAGTGTTTCAACAATTCAATTCTGAAAAAAACATAATACCAGATATTACGACCACAAGGATGGATTCAACATCGCTTTCATTCGCACTTTTAATCAAAGAAATATCAATAAATCATAATATAAATACAGCATCTGAATAAATAACTTAAAATATTAAAGTATAAAAGATCATTATTGCATTATCTTCCGAAATCGCATCTGAGCCTAAACGCAAATGACGTAAATGATCTACCATTGCAAAATTGAAAAATACAATCAATGCAAAAAAAAAAAAAACTCAAATAGTTGCAAGTAAGATTCCAAAGTTCCACGTTCGAAAAATTAACTGATCTTCTCGAACCAATAAAAATCACAATTGAAAAGGCTACAAAAAAAATATGCTCTTAACTATCAGCAACTAGTAAGTTTTTTGGAAAATAGTTTTCGCGTTATCCAATAAAAATAGCAAAAAATTATACTGAGAATATATTTAATTTAGTCGAAATGTTAAACACAATTCAATTCTTTGTTGAAGAAATGCAGTATTAAAAATAGGATCATTAGACTGTGCAAAAAACTGAAAGACCCAGATTTACAAGTCTCAGAAATTGATTCACTTAAATATAATTACAATATTAAATAACCTAATGATTTTTACGTTAGATTACTGAAGATATAATTACTAATTAAAAATTATCATACAGGAATAATTTTAAAACCAATATCAGCAAACAAATTAAAAGCTACAAATGCTATGCTAAAAATCGTTCTGACTCTAATTATGCCAATGATGTTGCTACATACATCAAGATCAATGTAAATTTCAGAGGTACAACTTCAAACAAACATTGAAGCAGTATTAATTCACGTTACAACTAAACTATAATATATACCTCCCAAATAGCTATAATTTTCTTTTAAGATCAATGAAATCAAATCTCATCGAGTAATTATCTAAATCATTTTTGATACTTGGAGACTTTAAAAGTCTCACGCTATGAAACTTTGTTAGAAACGACAATTGCAAAATTGATACAATAATAGAAAATGCAAATTTTTCTATCTTCAATACCAATCTTTCTGCATACTTTAATGGCACTTTCAGCTGCATCAATCTATCAATTATTAATAATTTTATTAATAGCTTTGCTTATGATTGTGGATGGACAATATTAGACGATCTACATGACAGTGATCATTTTCCAATATACAACATACATACCTCCCTAATAATTAATACATTAATTAATTTATTCCCAAATGAAAATTCTATCAAGCAACAAGTTCACAGATATATTGAATAAATGAACATCCTTAATATTCTGGATAATACAGATATAGACACTGTAACGTTTTTCTAATATTATCATTAAAGCAGTTGACGAAACCATCGGATAAAGTTTATCAAAAAAAGACAGACTTATTCCTTGGTAGAATAATCAATATAAAGAAGCCATATCAAAATCAAAATAAATCTTCAATCATTTTAAAAAACGTAAAAGAAAATAAGATAGAATTTAAAAACAGCGATTGCTAGATGAATTATTAGAGAAAGTAAGAAAAACAGCTAAACGAATTATGTATCATCACTAATGAACAGTGCAAATATCAAAAAAATATGGAATAAAATTAATGCAATCAGAGGCAATCGGCAAAACAGTCAAATAAAAACTTTATCACAAATAACTACAACGACTGACTCAAATGAAATTGCAAATAGCTTCCATCTCTTCGCAAAAAACTCCAGTTTCTCCAACTACAACGAAGAATTTAAAACGTACAAACTACTTAGAGAAGCAAGTACAATCTCTGAAACTAATGATTCTAGTAATTCGTATTTTAATCCTTATCTTAGAAAGAGAACTTGAGGAAGTGAAGAAAGAAATACTCCAAAGAACTCCAGTCCAAGACAATATCCTGAACGAACTAATTAAACAATTGCCAACTATTGGACATAAGACATTACTTGATTTATACAATTGCATGTGGACTTATAAAGTAATTCTTAAAAAATAGAATAAATCCATAGTTATACCAATATTGAAATCCTGGCAAGGACCCATACAAATTTGATAGTTATAGACCTGCTGTTCTTACATGTAATTTGTGCAAAATAATAGAAAAAATTGTGAACCATCGACTTAAATAGTTTCTCGAATATAATAGATTTATTGCTACAACCAATTTGGATTTCGAAGTGATAATATTCGAAGCGATAAGTCTCGATATCGAAAAACTATTCTAGTCAAACTCCAGGTAGGAATCACTGGAAACATAACATTCCGTTAAAAATTTCATTTACAATGGAAACATTCAAGTTCGTATTAATGGTACCTTTTTAAAAAAAATTTTCAGGAAATCGAAAACAGAGTACCACAAAAATCTGTAATTAGTGTTACATTGTTTTAATTAACTATTAATGATGCGTGTAATATCTCTATAATCCTAAACGTTATCATCTCTCAACAAACTGTTCGATCGATGCTTAATAAGTCGTATAACTGGTCCCTGAAGACGGACTTTAAATTCTCGACTACTAAAACTGAATGCATTCCTAAACGTCATAATACATCTGTATTAAATCTTGGAAATAATGCACTTAAATTTGTTACATATACTAAAATCCTTGGAATACACTTTGACAATAAACTTACAATGGAATAAATATATCAGCAATATGGTAACTGCAAAGCGAAGATTAAATATTATCAAATCTCTAACACATAATAATTGAGGAGTTGATAAAGGCGTCCTAATAAAGATTTATAAAACGATTATTCGAACTAAAATGAATTATGCATCTATAATTTATAACTCTACCATTTTAAAAAAACTAGATTCAATTCATAATAGGGTTATCATATCATTTTCCCAATTGGAAGCATATTAATTGAAACTGGAGAGTCCCTATATAGAAGAAAATTACTATGTTTAAAATAAGAGCAATAAGGGCAGTGACATCTTCCAATCCTATTATATTTTCAGGCGTTTACTCAAATTAAAGCAGAGCCCAATTCAAGAAACATTCCACTTTACAACAAAGAGTTAATAAATATTAAGAAGAAATAAACTTCAATTCTTCTGTCATGGAAAAATACAAAATCCATAATCCCCTCTCTGGACTTAAGATCCTCTATTTATTTAACACTGGTAGCACACAAAAATGAAAAATTATCCAACAAAAATTGGGAAACTATATTTAACAACTTATGTCTTAAATATCCTTTACCCATACATTGATGGCTCCAAAAATAAAGAGTATGGAACTGGAGCTGCTTTCTTCTCTCAAAATATTTCAGTTAAACATAGTCTGAACATCTTTAATAGTGGCCATTTGGCTGTAACATTTGCACTCCTTCTAGCTCTCAAATTTATTGACAGTAATTTCCTAAATCACTCCAAATATATCATATTTTCTGACTCCTTTGCGACATCTCTCAAAAAACTAAACAATTGACAGAAATGTACATAGACATATATCAGTTATTCAACAAAATAGAGAACAAAATAATAATTCCGTTCTATAAGGATATCTATGAAAATATAATGGCCGACATTGAAGCAAAAAGCAGCTATCCTTAGAACAGACAATTAACTTATTTATAATATACATTTGGACATCAATAAATATATATAAATATTATAAAAACAATCTTGGTTCGCAACATGGAAAACATATAAAATAAGCTTGCTTTACAAATCTATCGGAAATTTCTTCGATTTACAAATGAATGCAAACCGAATCAAAATCGGACATAGCAAGCTCTCTTCTACTCAACAGAAGTCAATCAACAATATGCGAAAAAAATACGAATTACTATCAACCACATCATCTTTGATTGAAACCAATTCATCCATCGATTATCAGAACACTCTAATGAGATTCTGTAAAAGCATCGAGATTTTCACTAAATTATAGTAACTCTATTAATTTTTTTTTTAAGTGGCTAATAACCTATGATGTTGATGTTAAACTTATTAAAAAAAAATATATAAATATAATACGCGATTTAACACTAAGCTTAAAATCATTTAAATTTTGTTATTGATTTGAAAAAAAAGTATCATAAATCCAATAGTAATTTCTTCAATTCAAATTAAAGATTTAAAGAAAATTTTTTAAATTATCATTAGATCTAAATTTTTTCTAAATCATCACTTTTTTTGGAAAACATACATATATGAATTAATGGATTTAATTATATTAAATATATTATATTATTATATTAAATATTAATGGATTTAATATGAATTAATGGATTGGAAATTAATCATTATCTCGTTATAAAAATTTCACTTCTAAATTCCGATAAAAATTAAATAAAGTATATTTTATAACAACAAGATCTAAAATGATTTACACTTATTTAAAAATAATAAAATTTTTTGTATCAATAAATTTATCAATTTAAGATTATATTCAATTCGATTCAAAAGATAAAAATATAAAACATTGTCTAATCACATAAATTTTTTCATTCAGTTTATAAAGTGATACAAAATGCGAAATTACATATTATATATAATATATTCAGTTATATTAAATTAGTATAAAATCCAAAAAATTGTAATTCGAGATTGTTCATAATAGATATTATATTATAAATTTGTAATTAATTAAAAAATTTATAATTATAACAGCCTGATATATATGTTAAATTGTAACTCATACATATAACATACATCACAATTCAAGATTTTAATAATTTCAACTAAAACAAAATGTATATTTTCAACAATGAAATTTGTAATAGAAACCACAAAACAATATAAATCAGAATAAAAATTAAATTATTTATCTGCGTAGAATTTAACAATAAACTTATTTAGACAATTTAATAATAAATTTACTTGAAAATTTAAGTTTACAATAGTTAAGAAACAGAACACTTTAAACTATGTGAAATTACAAAAATTCCGAAGAAACTGCATCCATTAAGAAAAATTTAACACATTTTAAGCACAAATTATAAAGCGATTCGATACTCATAACTATGAACTTATAGTATCTTTTATAATAATTTTTAATTATTGTTATTATGTTCGTCTTATATAAATTATGTATCGTGTTAAAAACATAGTTAAACATAATTAAAAAACACATTTAAATACAAAAGATTTTAATTTAAAAAAAGACAATGTAAACATAGCAAAGATAAAAATATACGAACAAGTATGTTACAATTAACATACTTAATTACAAATTATGTTACTAATTCCATATTAAAAAATTTTATATTATATATTATACTCATAGTATTTATATTATATTTTATATTATATATATCATTATATTTAGATATGTAAAAAAAATATTTAATAATTTTAATTTCTAAATGTGTATGTTAATACTTTAATTAGTAATTTTAAGTAGTACTTACAACTCTCTCAAAAGGAAGAGGGATGTGCTTCGAGATCTGAGTAAACGAATGTTATGCTGTGACAGCACAGTTGAAGTATGCGAGATGCAAATTATAAGAAAAATAATGAAATTCTAAGTAATGAATTAAAGACCATGCTATGTGCAAAATTTCTGTAATTATTTGGAATTATTAGATCCTTATTGATTTTGATGATTTTTTGATATATATAGAAAATTTTAAACAATTTTTTCTTTGCATATTGTCGTCATTCTTTTTTTTTTTTTGCATATTACTGATATTAGCTTTTGAGATATTCATAAGAAAAAATTGCTATTATTACGTAGAATTTCTCTTTTATACATATATTTGCAGTATATACAATGCGTAAGCATGCAATCCTCTGTAAATATTACATGCTCCTAAATCTTGTCTTTCTCATACCAGTCGTATTTCAAAAGTACAACAAAGTTTTTTTTTTAAATAAAAAAATAAAAATGAAAATAAAAATGCCAAACTGAATCAATTAATGAATTAAAAAGTATATGATTTAATTTAAAAATGTAGAAATCTTTAAAACTCTTTGTAACTTAGTTGTAAAAAAATATTATTATCATATTAATTCCCATTATATACTAAACAATTTATATTAATAATTATATAATTATATATTTATATTGATAATTATATATAATAATATTTATTGATAAAATTTTTTCTTAAATTCAAAAATAACGGAGATATTTAATTATTTCTATTTAAATTTCTATTTTGTATAAGATTAATCTGCTAATTAGTTTTTTTTTTTATCGATTGAATTAAAAATATATTATTAAGAACATTATTTTGAATAACTTTATTCATATTCAATGATTCATAAAAATATTGATCATATACTACGTAAGGAAGAGAGAAAATTCATTTAACGCAATAATTTTTTTTTAATAAAAGTTTGTGTACATATAGAACATATAGATTATTGAATATATATGGAATATTTTTTTATTGACAAGAAATCTTTTGAGAAGATCAAATTTCAACTCTGAAAGTTTCATTTTTTTACTTTAAATAAATATAAAATTCTCTTTCTGGGAATTTAAAAAATGATAGAAAAATTAAATATTTTACATATATAAGATTTTGTTTTATTTTTTCTTATTGTTACAAAATTATTTAAAAAATAAGAAATAAAAATTTTTGTTTTTAATTTTTTTTTAATGAAACTTTGTAAATATGTATAATAAACTATATTTAAAACATTATTTTTAAAAAGATAAAATTAATATTTAAAATCTTTTTCAATTATATAATAAAAATTGTTTTTGCATTGTCCTTTATTTTAATACATTTTTAAGATTAAGAAATCAATATTGAAATGATCGCAAGAAAGTGAGGTTCTTGATCTTTTTATATGTGTATTCCATTTTTATTAAATATATCTTATTTTACCTAAAATTTTTAATGATATATTTTTAATGATTTATTATATATTTCTAATATTTAATTTATAAGAATATTGTAATCTATATTTTTTGATGATATACTTAATATTTTTTGATATTAGATATCAATTAAAATTCCTAATAAAATTTCAATACACCATTTTGTTATCAGAGATCTATAATCTGTTTTTTCAAAAAGCTTCTTAATTTTAAGAGTTTTGAAGTATTTTGTTGTAAAACTAATTATCCCTTAAAAAACAGATGGTTAATTATATGGATGGAAAATGAAAATATCTGAGTTCTTTTGATCTCGTTCTCTCTTTTTTAG